CAGGCTCTGTACCTTCACACTTCATCTCCTTCCAGCAAGCTTTGTTGTATGGAAGATTTTTACTTTTGTCCTTCTTTGCACAATTTGTGGTACCCTAATGCTACTTGATGAGGCACTATTGTTGTGTGATTGCATTGCACAATTTGTGGTACCCTAATGCTACTCGATGAGCCACTAATGTTGTGTGATTGAGCTGTTGTTTTAAAAGAGTTTGCGCTCAATCTTGTATGCACCTGATGAGGCACTAATGACCACTGGGTGCACTAATTGTTGTACAATTCTATTGTTTCTGATGGAGTCTGGCTACTAATTGAAGGCCTATTCCCTAGAGCTAAATTTGTATTGTTTACTACTCTATTAACAATATTTGTAAACAAAATAACACCTTCAATTTGATGATTTTTTTTCTAATATGCACTATTTGCCAAAAAACTATGGTATAAGCAGGGCATGTGTATTGCAAATCATGTTGTTATTTTGATTCTTCACATGTGTGCATCATACTTTGTTTGCTTAGCACGTATGAACAATTTTCATGCTAACATTGTTTGATAAAATACTAAAATAGCAGTCATTTTAATCATTATGCTCTACATATTTGTGAAACGGATAACATACTCTGAAAATTTTAGAGAATAGATGGCCTACCCTTGCTAACAATTTAACATGGTTTGATAATTCAGAACAATAGTTCTTTGGTCTGAATTTGTTTGATAATTTTTTCCTATTAGATCTCATCCAATCTAATAGTCTTCTCTTTTTTTTTATAATCTTAGCATTGCTGCAACTTGGGGGCATAGGACCAGTGGGCCACTGCTGTTTTTTGGCTATTTTTGCCATCAGCTGCTGCTCTATGTTTGCTAAGCAGCTGTTGTTTTTTTCTAATGATGAAATTATCCAACTCTCCTCTCCCCTCATCTCCTCTCTTTTGCTAATGATGAAATTGTCCAACTCCAGAAATTATCTGGAATATGAGCTGATGATCATGAACTTGTGAGGAATTTGGCATCATTACCAGCCGCCCCTACTGTCTTTTTCTATATGCTCACTGTGTTTATGATGTCTTTATGCTCCAAGTTCTTTATCAAATGATGATTGACATGTTTCTGAGGTCTCTACCTCTACTACTACTATTACTACTTGTTTTGTGAGTTAGTTTGAACTTGATTGATGGCTATTTTCTTCACTTCCACTAGGAAATGGACCCTTGCTATGTTGTTTTCAACGGGAAGAAACTTGGGATTTACATGTCTTGCATGAGAATAATGAATATGTGCTTGGGTTAAAAAATGCTATACACAAGAAGTACAACAACTATGACCATACACTTAGAGATTTCAATGCCTATGTTGGAACAACAACTACCTCCCCTAATCTGGTCCCAACTGATTGTGGTGAAAGCATCCCCTCACAGTGGTAAGAGTGGTTCTTGCAAGAATGTTGTGATTATTAGTCTGTTGGTGATGGTGTTTGAACTTTCGATGAGGCTTTCCATGAGCTGCCAATGCAACTGCAATAATTAGGCCTATGATGACACAATTAGATGGTCGATGTAGTTGGATAACATAATTGTATGATGATTTAATTATGGTGTCTAAGGCCTATTAGTTTGGATAACACTAATTTATGTTGGCAGCGATATTTTGGTTGTAATACAACATTATCTATTAATAATATTGATGCTGCTTTGTAGACCCTCCTCTCCTAGTCCTACTACTTCTACTCTTCTCCTCATCTGTCCTTTGCTCCTACTTCTCCTACTCCTGTTCCTCTACTATAATTGTTTTCCTTGACATAAATTTAGGAAAAGATATGGCCGAACTCCCTTCGTCGGATCTGTCAAATAATTATGTGTATGATCTGGGCTTCGAACCAGCATTGAGGAGGGCAAACCACCCATATCCAAGCATAGTAAGTAACATGTTTTAAAGACACCTCTATAGATATTTTGTTTTGATATATATAATTCTTAAATGTAGATAATTCATCCTATACCATGGTTCAGAGAGACATTCTCAAGTTTCGGGGTTGATTTCCTCAATGTTGGTACATTCCCTATAGATGGTCGACTCAAGCAATGTCAAATTGGCTTTTCTATTCTCGCTAGGGCGAGTAACCAACAAGGTATGGTTTTATACATCGATAGGACGAGCAGCGGCCAACCTCATGATATTAGTGCGTAAAAATATGTTGTGCAAGCATGTTTTTAAGGGCGCTTCAAAATATTGGGTACAATATTCCTATATACTTCTCCATGAGGATTGCTGCTTTGAATGTGGGCCTCCACCATGATATTTGACTGTTTTATGCACAGCTTGCTGAGGACAACATAAATGATGTGGTCAGTTTCATAACTTATATCCAGATTAATTGTTATGTCTATATATATATGCATGGTTCTGATAACCACATTTTTTCCAACACTTGCAGATTTAGGAGAACGACGTAACATACGCAAGTTGTAGCTTTGAAGCCATTTTAAACCAGGCCATGTATCACTTGGATCGTTATAAATGGGAATATGGTGGCCCTATTCTCACTTCAGAGAGAATTCAGGAAAAATTCTTGTGACTAGGAGTGAAGATTCTCGACCAATGCTGATCGTCGTCAGTAGACCTTGTGAACGATCTTGTGAATTAAGAGAGAGTGCACTAGTAAATATATTGCGCTACATCAGTGACATTTTGACATATGAAATGAATGATCTGCACTTCTCTGAGTACGTGGTACGACGTTAGAAAATTCTAGAAAGTTAAATTACTGTTAGTTGTAATAATGAACTGATCTAAATTATTATGGTTTGTAATGAACAAATTTAAATTACTATGTGTTTGTAATGAAGCAATTTAAATTATTATGGGTTTGTAATGCATATATCTTCTTGTGCATTAGTTGTTGATATAATGTCCTTGAATTATATTTTATATATATATATATATATATATATATATATATATATATATATATATATATATATATATATATATATATATATATTCCGGTCATATTTAAATTTTCAAATTTTATTTTTTTGTGTGAAAATATACTGTAGGGGCGGTTCTAGAGTGAACCGCCCCTACAAATAGGAATTATAGGGGCGGCTGGTGTTACAACCGCCCCAACAAATTATTTTTGTAGAGGCGGCTGGTGTTACCAACCGCTCCTACAAATACAGTTATAGGGACAGCTGGTGACACAAGCCGTCTCTACAAATACATTTGTAGGGGCGGCTTGAAAACCGCCACTACAAACTCTTGATTTATAGAGACGGTGTGGTAGGGGCGGCCGGCAAAATCGCCTCTACAAACCATCGCCAGCCGCCCCTACAATTGTCAACTCCTAAAAGCTATACAGACTACCTGCAGAGACAACACCATTCGCCAACGAATCAAAAAATGGGGCAAAAAATCTAAGCATAAACTGAAGAACACAGGAACTCGGATCCCACATCATCTAAGGGGAAAACCCTAGACAACAAACAACACAACACAAAAATCGCATACGAGCGGACACACAAACCAGATCTCAAACGAGGACAAAGGCATTAAACATCAACACACACATTGAATAAGGCAACAAACAAACCCAAACATCGATGGAACATATCGCAAAGAAGGGGGCAGGAAGAACTTAGCTCGCGAAACCCTAGAAACTGCGGCTCGCCGTGCCGGGGAGTGGCGCTAGGCCCTGAGCGCCCTGCACAAGTGGCCAGGGTCAGCACGCCGCGCGGGGGATCCACACCGACGGCTGCGAGGAAGCGCGCGTCCTCCGAGTCCAGCCGGTCGCCCAGGTGGAACCGCCACACGCGGACCAGTGCCAGGCCACCGTCGGGGCTGGCCAGGGCCACGCCCACCTGGGCGAACCGGACGCCCTCCACGCGGGCGCGCGTGGCCTCGTAGCGGGCGTCGAGCGTGCCGCAGGCCGTCGAGCGTGCCGGGAGTCGACGGGAGGAAGCCGAAACGAAATGAGAATGGGGAAAGGGGGAACAGACGACACAAAATCAGACGCGGAGTCCAAAAGAAATTGAACACTAGCACTGGTAATCGGGACCCACAACACAGAGAAACAAACGGCGGTGACAAGCATAAGCACACGATGCCCATCCAACGGACACAAAATTTGTGTGCCAACAAACAACAAAACACATGTGTGTCGTACAACATTTTTGTTACTTTATCTGATGCACAGTACCCCGGTTACTTACTGCGTGCTCTGTGTTCTGGCCTTCTGGGATAAGCTACTACTAGTACCAGATCTTAAATGGTCCTCAAACAATCAGGGAACACTCAATCATGCATGCACATCTCGATATATAGTGCCGTTGACATGGCTCTATCAGGGAACAGTACTAGTAGCAGTGTGTCTGCTTGTTGCATGTATATATAGTGCCGCTCGGCTCTTGGTTACTTGTCAGTGGTGTATATATAAGCAAGAGAATGTATGCATGGATGCTCCCATGATTGCATGCACAGTGTTCTTTTCTATCTGCACCTATCACAATCGTCGTGGTCATATTACTTTGCGAAGCGCGTGTGAGTAGTTTAGAACTCGCTCTCTCCATTTCAGATTGTAAGGTGTTTTGACTATATATATCTAAGTGCATACCAAAAAGCTACGTATGTAGAAAAACCGAAACGTCTTATAATTTAAAACGGGAAATTCAAAGTACGTCAGTTGAGAAGTCTCTTATAACTTCATAGTAATTGACCACGAGCTGAGGGAAAAATCTGGAATGCATGGTGATATATATATTATTTATTAGTCATGGCTCATGATCTGAAGTAGTACAACAAAGGAACATCATACATCGTGACATGTTGCCCTACGTGCAGTGCATATAGTGCCAATTAATGAATAGTACATGGGAGATTAATTATATGCTACAGATGCTCTGAAGACTTAGCTTGTTGTTTCTTCAGATCATCATGGACAATACAACGTACGTAACAGAGCATCAAGAGAGAAGATCTTGGCGCTAGCTAGCTAGCTAGTAGCGCTAGCTACTCTTGTTGTTGGCGACAGCCTTGTGATGAGCAGGTCCTGATGGCCTGGAGCACGGCTTGCTTCACGACATGCTCATCCACATTATCCACCTGGTTCTGCATCTATCGCATTATTAGTTTCAATGGGTATATATATGCATCATCACAGTACTGAACACGATGAGCACCGGCACGGCATGCATGATTACCTCTCCCCCAATAGCCTCGAGGCGGAATGTATCCGCACAAGACGCCGTGGCTTGGTGTAGGCTGAGGCCCAGCTCATCAAACGCCTCCAGGATAGAAACAAGCAGCCCGGGGCAGCTCTTGTCAGACAACACGTTGATGACGAACCCGTGCCCTGCTGCCCCTGCTAGGGTTTCCACAGTGACCTGATGTACATACACTAGCTTGTGTGTTGGATCCATCGATATGCATCATCTGAAGGTGTGTGTGTGTGTGTTACTACGAACTAGCTATACCGTCGGGGACGGGGAGGAGCTGTGCTTGAGCAGAGCGCCTGCTTCTTCTTCTTCTTCTTCACAGGCCATCTCCTGCTTGAGCGTGACGACCTTCTGCTTCAGCTCCTTGATGTACTCCGACGCGTCCATGATTATGGAGGCGTCGCTCAGCTGTGCAGTGCGACCAGCAGAAACAATTAATCCCAGTAATAATTAACTGTTGTTTGCTGGTGCATGCAATGCAAATGCAGGTCCACCAGTCACATCCAGCATGCCACCTGTTCAAGGGCCGGAGCTGAGCCTAAAGATGTTGTTTACTGCTTCGTTTTAGGACGACATCTA